AGTGCCACGCTAGTAGTAACAAGTGCCACGCTAGTAGTAACAAGTGCAATATACTGAGTGGAAGGTTTCAAGACACCCCTGAAAGACCTGGTGAGAGTTCGCTGTGCCACGACTTTTGTCAGGATGCCCAAACCCACTGCGTAAAACCAGCGTTTGGCTGGGAATACATGTTGGTGCCCCAAAGAAACCACCACAAGAGGAAAGTGGAGGGCATCGTGAGCAGAAAACTCTCGTGATGCTCGCTTCCGGAGTTCATTGTCTCTTGTGCTGGCATGCTTTTGCATTCAGAATGCTGGCTGCAAATTGCAAAAACAACACTGCGGTGGAATTACTTTTCAGATCCAATGCATGACATGCATTCAGCCGGCAGAGTTCAGGTGGACGCTCGAAACATACTATGCACTGTCGGCAGTGTCATTCATGTGCGTCAAATTTCACACTGCCTAAATTGATGGGGCAAGCTCATGATAGTTCCTCCCGTTCCTCCCTGATGCTTTTTGGAGTGTGCTCAAAACAATAAAAGGTGGCCGTCGGGGCATTCCTTCGATTGATGTTTGGGAGAACTAGCTGCGGACCGCTGCAAGATGTGGTTCAGACGCTGAGTGAAGCACTTGAGTGAGTCAAACCATGTTTGGTAATCAATGTTGGTGAATATTGATGCAAAAATATATTGCCGCACAGTATATAGGTATTTATTGTGAAACATGAAAATGGCTCTGAAGCGGACAAAGATGCGCTGGTTTGCGCTTTCTCTACAATCTCCAAAAGGATCCAAAAGGTAGACATGCGTTTGGATTGAAACTACGCGACATATACATACTTGAAGACTGCCAAGATCCAAATGGTCGCCAGGCAGCGCAGAGGTTGATAAACCATGCTGATCATGCTTTAGACATTTCTTCAGTGCCATGGCGCTACAGCCCCAGGCACCTCAAGCGCTGCCAAAGCTTCCTCCCCCGTCATCTGGACACGGTCCCACTGTTCTTTGCAGCGTGCGTGGTGGTGCCACCGCGCTCCTTCGGTCCGGTGCACCGCTCCGGTGCTGGACATCGGCCTCGCTGTGCCTCCTCGCTGCCTCACCGCGGACGGCGCGGCGACGGGGTCGGACGGCGCGGCGGCTCTTTGGGTGGGCCTCCTCGCTGGTGGAGGCACCAGCGGAGAAGCTGCGGCGAGAGTTGGACGCGGAACTCCAAGAGGCCGATGCGGGTGGAAGAGACCGAACTGCAGTTGTTGACCATGTGAACAAGGGAAGTGCAACGATGTTTTTGCCTTTATATAGCTGATTTGGGAGTAATTGTGCCTGCGAGGTCTTGAGTCTTGTGGCCTTGTTGACCCAGTCAGGTGAATGCCTGGGAGCCGCGACTGGCCTCCTTGACCGATCACGAGCTGTTGGCGCAGGCCGGTGCTTTGCGCGCGAGGGCACGCGCTGGGGAGACGCTGGAGGAGCTGCTGCCGGAAGCCTTCGCCTTGGTGCGGGAAGGCTCCAAACGAACTCTGCAGCTGCGACATTTCGATGTGCAAATCTTGGGAGGCGACTTGCACAGACAGAAGAGAGGGTGTGCGACATCAATGGAGGGTTAACCGCTTGGAAACAAACGGAGATGTGGGTAGTGGGTGTGGCCTAAAACTATGGACATTGGATTTGGATGGATTTGGTAGTTTGGTCATTCCATTGCTTTACGACTGAGACACCTGTGGCTACCGGCTACAGACAGCTTTTTTTGTTTTTAACCAAGCTATGAGTATATAATAACCTATCTCTAAGGCATCACCTTGCATCGAGGGCAAGTGGCTGAGATGGCCACGGGTGAAGGGAAGACGTTGGTGGCCATTCTACCGGCCTTTCTGAATGCCTTGACGGGACATGGGGTCCATGTGGTCACCACCAATGATTACCTGGCTCGCCGGGATGCTGCTTGGGTCGGACAGGCCAGGGTTGGCGAGTGTGGAGGGTCCACGGTGGCGAATGTATTTCTGGCGACAGAGTCTGCTCAGACTTGGTGATTTAGATCCGACATCTGAATTATGTCCTAGTGCTTGGGAAGACTTGTAAAGGCACATGGCCAGCTTAGGCTTCCTGAATTGATGCAATGTGCCCCGTTTTCGTATTTCCAATCGCCGTGAGAGGTCTTGAGATTCTTGGGACTGACCGTGGGCGTCATCCAGGCGGACATGTCTTCAGCTCAAAAGCGCGAGGCCTACCGCTGCGATGTGACGTATGTGACGAATCAACAGCTGGGCTTTGATTACCTCCGTGATCAGCTGGCATGTGTTCCAGAAGAGTTGAGACATCGCCAGGAGCGAAGTGCATTCCCAAACCATCAGATCACAGGATGGGCGAACTTGACCTCCTCCAACACTTGGCTTGGCCGATAGGAACGGTGGAAGGTCCCTTTTGTTCATGGCATGACGCCACCACCCGAGTAGTTGGCTGCATGACCCTTTTCTAGCTAACATGGCTCCTCTATGAAGCGGGCCCATGGCGCTACTGTTGATGCGAAATAGGTGGGGAAACACAAATATGGACCCTGCGCTTAAGCGATGTTTTTTCTGTGAATGTGGTCGTTTCAGGAGTCCTTTCTCCATCCCTTCCTTAACATATCTTTTTGAGTAATCATATAGGTGGAAGTTCCATTTCTTCATTTCAGGAGAATCCCTTCAACTGTGCCATCGTGGATGAAGCAGACTCAGTGCTGATCGACGAAGGGCGTACGCCCTTGGTGGTGTCCGCGCAAGCAGAGATCCCCTCGGAGAAGTATAGCACAGCTCTGGAGACTCGGTAGCTGTGCTCACCTCGAAAGTGGTTTTCGTTGCACAACGGTTTCATCCCAAGGTCCCAGCCGTGCTCCCCGGCTTGGGAGGGTGATCCAGCCGTGCTCCCCGAATTTAGATCAAGACTCGAGGCCCTGTTCGCCTCCCTTAAAAACACCCAGTGGGGGGAATGCCCTGAAGATCTCGTGAAGGAGGCGAACATGAACAATTTACGAAAATTTGCAGCTGAGCTGGGAGGGCATCACATTTTAGCATGTCAGAGTCAGAGTTGGTCATTTGTTTGGCTCATGTATGCGCTCATGTGAAATTGGTGTCATATCCATGGATTTCGAGAAAAAGTACCATCACACTGCAGAAAAAACAACATAGTTTCCTGATGTTGCACCGGATATGAGTCCACCAGCTGATTTTGCCAACTGAGGAGGTCGCATCCAGCTTGGAGAAGGATATCCATTACACGGTGCTGGAGAAGGAGAAGACTTGCATGCTGACGGAGCAGGGCGAGGAGCTGGCTGAGTGGGTGGATTTGGAATCTTCTAAATTGGGGTGTGTTTCTTCTGGTGAGATTCATAGGTCACCCTTATCGAGCAAAGAGGGAAGTGGACCATACCGTTTGAAACACTCTTCTCCTCAATGGCGAGTCCAAAGCGGAGTTTCAATACTTTGGAGGTCTTCCTCTTGGTTGAGCTTTTTGTCACAGCTCTTCCCAACTCGCTCCTGTTCACGTCGAAGCGGCCCTCCAGGAGCTGGCGAGTCGAGCATTGGAGCGGGAGGATCTCTTCGATCCCCAAGACCCCTGGGCACCCTTCATCGTGCAGCTTGGCAGATGGCGACGCGTCTGTCGCAGACGGACGGAGCTCGGGGACCTCGGCGTCTCTTTTGTCTTCTCGATGGTTTCAACATCTTTCACCCCGGGACTTCTCCCAGAAGGAGACCAAAGATTGCAGCGGGTGCCAAGCATGATTGATCTGACCGACGAACGTCTGGTATTGGATGTAGTCTACCTCCCGGAAACCTCTCCCTGAGCGGGCGACCCTCAAGCTTTTGAGTGACGATAAAGCGCCGCAAAGACGTCTTTGGTGTGAAACAGGCACGTCAAAGAGCCTGGCCATCCTATGTAGTTGTATATACAAAGTTTGTAGATTCAGCCTGCCACCCTGCTTTTTGGAGCCCTTTCTTAATGCTCTTGATTCACTCTCAATAGAGAAAGCTGTAGCCCTGATCCACAGATACTGGTCTCCAAGCTATATAATAAGATAAATGCGGTTGGTATGAGTTGGTTGAAACAAGAAGCTAGATGCCCAAATACAAGGGATCGACCCCACTCAGGCGTCGCGCGTTTTGAAGGTCGAAATGCGTTCAACATGCAGGTTTCGGAGCGTTGTTGAAACTCGACCGGCAAAAGTTATGCCACATCTCAAGTTTTTCTCATCACATTTTCTGGAAGTTGAGCAACGCCTTTGCCAAGTGTTTCACCGGCTCATCCTTTGCAGGAATTCTGTACTGCCAGATCAGCTGCGGGTTCACTGAACGATTGAATTTGTGAGTGCTGAACATGTGCAAACAATGATATGCATGCTGCAGAGTATCGCTTTTGAGACCTTTTGAGGAAAAGCTAGCACCAACAAATTATGAAAACGAAAGACTCACAGGTCAAGTAACGCCATCTTTCCTCGCCTTGCGCGTGAGCGAAGCAAACGTCGAGACACAACCAAAAGTGCACTTGTCGAAACTCGATTGGGGTCTCTCCCTCGACAGAACTGCAACTAACAACGGAACAAATGCTCAACATGTTTGCACACAAAATTCAGGGTGTCATCCAACAAGGGCACCTTAAAGATATCAATATATTGATCTAACAAAAAGGGTTCAAGCGAAAGATGGATCCGAGACTCCCAGACACTGCAAATCCCTATGTGGTGGTTCCACAACACCGCACAAACGACACAACAAAACCAAACACAAAACCGTGGAACTGCAACCACAAAGTTCTGGTAATTTCCTATAACCAGAGTAAATGTTTGCCATGATTTCTTGCAAAAAGGAACAACCCCCCACATGTAACATGAACGTCATTATCCCACCACCCATAAACTACCTTCTGGCAACACGTTTCTGCACACAGTCCGCGACGCCCTGGTGGGGCGGTATCCAAATACAACCACAGGTGACCACTCGTGATGTTCTCCATGTTCTGTTTTCGCTTCACTGTTTGCTTTCAGGCTCCACCAATTGCCAATCCCTGCGCTCTCAGCGCCTTCTCTCCGTTTCTCTCCGTTTCCCGTTTCCCAAGGAACGCGCTGACGGCCAAGGAGCTCTACCAGCGGGATCAGCAGTACATCGTCCGCGAGAACGCGGTGGTGGTGGTGGATGAGTACACGGGACGCCCTGTGGATGGGAGATCCTGGAGTGATGGGCTGCAACAGGCGATCGAGGCCAAAGAGAAGGTGGAGATCCAAAAGGAAGCTCTGACCGATGACAGGCCGTTGTCTCTATTCTTTTGGTTTCCTCCTGTCCTTCTTGTGGTATGCAGCTTGGCCGCGGCTGCCAGCCGGTCGCCAGACCGTGTCCTTTTGTTGTCTTCGTTTCTCTTCTTGTCCTCTTGTTGTCCTCGTCTTGTCCTTCTTCCAGCTTGGCGCAGCTGCTAGCCCGTCTCCAGTCCTTGTCCTTTTGTTGTATTCTTTTTGTGCTCTCCTTGCCCTCTCCTTGTCCTTTTCTTGTCCTCCTCTTTTCCTCTTGCTGTTCTCTCGTTTGCAAAAAGAAGCTGGCCATAGTGTCAGGCCCCGCCGGCAAGCCCTGTCCGCTCTTCTCCTCTAGTCACTAGTCACAATCTTATCGGCCCTGTCCTCCTCATTTTATTCTATTGCCTTCTTGTTGTCCTTCTTCAGGTGTTCATTGGCCGCGGCTGCCAGCCTATCTCCAGTCATACAGTACTCCTCTCGTCGTCGTCTTGTCTTTCTCTTGCCCCTCTTCTCCTCTGGTTCTCCTCTTGGTGTGCTCCCCTCATGTTGTCCTTGTCCAGTCACAGCTTGCCCTTCTTCGGTCTTCTTGGTGTGTTCGTGTTGCTTTCCTTCCCTCATCCTTTTGTCCTCTGTTGTCCTCCCCATGCCCTCCTCTGGTCTTTCTGTTGTCCTGCTACTCTCGTGCTGTTTACGTTGCTTTCGGGCTGGGGCTGCGGCTGCCCACCTCCACAACAACAATTCTTGCCGACTAAGCTGTTTGGGGCTATGCAGGTATATTTTTGGTTGGTTTCTTTGTTCTTAGCATTGGTCGTGGATGTGAAAGAACTATCTTCGCCGCTGTCTTAGCGGAAATAGGACGCGAAACATAGGCAATTTTGGCCCCAGTAGAGGAGGCCGATACAGCTCAGAATTATGTCCAGTTTGCTAGTTGGATTGACCTTGGCAAAAGTTTGGCTCCACTTGGAAACCAGAGGTGATCGGGCACAAGTCGTCACGTCTTCAAAGCAGATGACACAACACTGAAGGAAGGTCCCTCCAGATGTTGAGTTCTACAGTCCCATTCATGGTGTCTAGATCACAGATGGCCTTTTACTATTGGTTGGTTGATCAACAACAAGTATATCTCGCATGGTACCAAACTGACCCCTCATTCCCAAAAGAACATTGTTAGTCTACATGAGCGTGAACCACTCAGGAAGCTATTGTCTTGGCCTCAATCTCTTACCAATGTCTCTTCCGGATGTACCAGAAGTTGGCTGGTATGACCGGCACGGCGTCGGCAGAAGCCGAAGAGTTTCAGAGCATCTATGGCTTGGAGGCTTCTCCGGCTCGAAAAGGACCGAAGATGCCCGGAACGGCTGTTGTTTGCTTGAACTAAAGGGGGACCCCACAACCAATGGGTTTTTGGCCTTTGCGGTTTCATGCAGTCGACGATCTGCCGTGGTCACCCCCAGCTTCGCGTGAGGCGAACACACTCCTCAAACAAGGCCCATCAAGGCCGCAACGATCCTTTCATGCTTAAAGTAGAACGTCGCCCCGCATGAAAGAAATCCCAAAGAGACTTGGCAACTTCATCGTGATTCGGAAGCTGCAACATTTTCATGAAGTACACAGTGGGGTTATGAAACCCCAACTTCTTCAAAGCACCTCTATGACATGAAAAGGGACCAAACTGTAAAGTGGATCCCAACCACTTAAAGAACTTAACAACGATTCTGAGCTGAGAGCTCAAATCTGAACGGACCAAATCAGCGCGACTCGGTTCATCGCGCATGATGTAAGCACTACGACGCGTCACCGCTTTCTTCTGTCATAGACTGGTGTCGTGTGGCGTGTGGCCAGGGAGAAGGAGATGTAGACTTCCAACAAATGTCCAGCCATGGTATGGATCGAAACCAATCCAGGAACAATTTCGAAAACCTCTCACCGAACGGAAAATCCACCAAAGATCCACATTCCACATCCTCCAAAGGAAAGTACCCAGAGCCGCGAACCAAGTACTGACCAAAGTCAGGAGAAAAAGGAACAATACCGGTATCAGGTTTATTGGCGCCCATGATCCTGCTGTTGGCATCGATCCAAAAACGCAAAAACTCACCCAACAAAGCTCGTTGTCGCACCCGCTCTTTGGACAGCTTTGTTAAAGAATCCAGCAAGTCGGCATGTTGAACTCTGATGACATTCTTGGCCAAGGTATCAACAGTCTCGTTCCACTGGCCTCTCCAACGCTCTGCAGGATCTGGCGCTAATTTCCAATGGGTTTCACTGGCCACAACCAATGGGTTTCATCTATATGTCCTTCGTTGGGCCGATGCAGAGCGTTGGCGTGCATGTTCTTGTTGCGTGCACACCCACTACTTCTGGAATTGGCTTACTTACAGGTCAACACCGCGAGGAATAAGGCTCCATAAGCTTCTGACTTCATGAAATTCATTGAGGAGTTCCCTTTGTTTCTTTGTGGTTTTGCCACGTCTGCACCTGCCACACCTTGCGTTCCTTCACCCCACCTTTCCCGCGGCTTCCCAGCACACATGTGTTGTTCCAGGGTACAAAGCATCTTCCACGAAACCTTGCATACACATTCTAGATTCTACAGCAACGTGCAAAATACACCCGGGCCTTTATTGTGTCAAACACAGATGGAGGTCCAGAACCGCAGAAACATCGCCCCACCAAGTGCCATTCGACCCTCTTCCCTCGATGTGCCATGAGACGCTCAGGTTCGCCCGGTGCCCTGCAACAAGCCATGCCAGCGCATGGATGAGGAGGACGAGATCTACACCAGCGAGGCGGGCAAGTGGCGTGCCGTCACGGAGGCTGTTTGTGAGGCCTATGAGTTGAAGCGGCCGGTCTTGGTGGGCACCACCAGCATTGAGAGCCTTGTGGATGTGATTGAGATATTTTTTCGGTGGGTCGTAGATGGAACACGTTTTTTATTCAGTCAGCACGAAGAACAACCGGCTTGGATGTGATAGAGAATCTTCTATTTTGACATGGATTGATTTTGCAACGATGTCTACAGCACCCTTCAAACACCGGTTCAGCAAAGAGGTGGAAGCCATGATCTCGGGTGGTGCAGGTTTTGGTTTATTTTTTGGATCTTTTTCAATAGGCAATAAATAGCAATGGATAGCAATACCGAGCACGTCTCCAATTTGCCGTTCCACAGTTTGGTTCGAGGCCATGGCTACTAGGTTGGAGGCCATTGCTATTAGAGAAGCAAACAAAAAAGACAATGAAGGTATCATTTTTGCTATTAGGTTGGAGGCCATGATTGCCGAGACGTGCCCCCACTGATCCGCGACAGAAAGCTGTTAAAAATGGGCTGGCTCCGTGAGCATCGGAAAACCTGTTTTTGGAGGGCTATGTATATTGGACTGTAGGTGTGCCAACAACCCTTGCCGGTAAAACCGTCATTTCAGGATTTCCAACTCGAAAGCCCACACGCGAATCCGGATTCCAACAATCCCCTCCCTCCCCGCGCCTTCCCGCGGACACGAAACACCTGCGAGCCTCCGACCCGAGGCTCCGAGCTCCTGGCCGAACGCTTGCGGGGCGCCTCAGTGCCCTTCTACCTGCTGAACGCCAAGCCAGAGAACGCCGCGCGCGAGGCGGAGGTCATCGCAGCGGGCGGCCGCCTGGGGGCCGTGACGATTGCCACCAACATGGCTGGACGGGGCACGGATATCATCCTGGGCGGTGATGGAAAGGCCAGGCCCAGGGGCGTTGAAGCGAGGGCGTTGGAGGCCATCGCTATTAGGTTGGAGGCCATTGCTTCTAGGTGCCCGTCCTTCGTGGCTCATTGGATGTAGCTTGCTTTTGCTAGAAGTATACACAGGACAAAAACCACACCACGTGGAAGGTGGAAGCGCAGACGAAAACGGGCTGAGGCGATGGCAAAGCTGCACTTGGAGGCAGCATTGTGCAAAGCCTTTGGCGAGGAACAAGAAAGGCCCCTGGAGTTGTGCCTCCCACTGCCTCATGCCTTAGCACAAGAGATGGCAGATGCCGCCGCGATGCTGGCTGCCAATGCTCCTGAAGACTATCGGTGGTCACTTGCAGAAGCAGCTATTTGTGATGGTATCCAAGATGAGGTCTCATCGAAGGCCTTCCAGGCTTCCCTGAACTCCTTGAAGGAGGTCTACCAGAGGGCCTGTGAGGAGGGACGTCGGAACTGATCTACAAAGACATCAAGAGATTGTACCCAAATCCACCATGCTGGTTCATTAGGGCATGCTGAAACAATCATCAAGCACCTGTGAGGCGTTCCATTTGCTTGTTTGCAGAGTCACCTAACCAGTGTTTCAAATGGTCAAAACCGTGATAGATGATTGTGCGAGACAGCACTAGCACTAATACATACTATATACGTACTGTAATTTAACTTGATATACTTACTCTCTCACCTATCACTTGTGGTGCCTGTAGACACTTGAAACAATCATTTTCCACTCTTTCACTCGATCCTTCATTGCTTTCTATGGCAACGACAGGATCCTAATCTATTCAGCCTTCGCCCCCCCTTTCAAAGATTTGATCCACACCCCACCTCCCACCTTCCTCATTCGTTCCTGCTGACCCACTTTGAGGACCTCTCCCTCCGCTGCAGTGCCGAAGGCGAGACAGCAAAGGCTTTGGGGGGCTTGCGCGTGCTGGGCACCGAGCGGCAACACGCGCAACGCATCGACCAGCAGCTTCGGGGCCGTGCGGGGCGACAAGGTGACCCTGGAAGCTCTCGCTTCTACTTGAGCCTTACCGACAAGGCACACCACTGCGGAAGCGAAATTCATGTGGGTGGTGGGATGGGGTGGACACCTTTTCTTTTCAAAGGGGAGAGCAAAACAACCCATGGAAGCAGGGTTTGCTGTGTGTCCTTTAATCCACAGCCCTGAACTCCTATAGTCACTGAGGGTCATACCGCGGCGCGCCTGCCTGTGCACCTGCGAGTGGATAAGGGCCGATTTGGTGACCGAGAGTCGGTGGATGCTGAGAAGTGGGTTGTGCTATTTTTGTTTGGAAAGGAGATGGATGTTCATCGCTTGGCATTCTTTCATAGGTAGAATACCGGGCCACTTCACTCTGGGCACTTCTCAGAAAGCAACATGTATTTGTTGAGATGTCATCAAAACCGTACAGACCCTGTGGTTTCTGAGTGAGTTGTGAGAGGTCATTGAAACACCTGGGCCTGAGCCCTTGGCCTCAGCCAGAGCTGCAACCTGGAAGGTCTTTCGCGTCTTCGGAGGTGATAGCATCCGGCTTCTGACCGCCGATATGGGTGGTGCAGACGATGTCCCGATCGTGTCGCCCTTGGTGTCTGGAGCGGTCAATGAGGCACAGGCACAGGTGCAGAGCTTCTTCTTCGGCATTCGAAAGGATGTCTTCAAATATGATGAGGCGGGCAATGTTTTTGCAGATGAGGAGTCGAGAGAGGTTAGGTTGTGGTTCTTCATGGCTCTTCTATTTGCTTCTGAAAGGCCAACTAGCATTAAGTCCCCCACTTCGGACCACGGCTGCGTTTTCCGATGACCGCCCCTGGGTGGTTTCCAGGTGCTGGACCAGCAGCGGCGGGTGATCTACTCCGTGCGGCGGAAGGCGTTGCTAGACAGCGATGAGGAGGTGCTGGGCTCCTTGAAGAGCTTCTGCGAGGCAGGTGACTTCGGTCGACGTAGAGATTGGCTGGGAGTGGAGGTAGATGAAGCAAGTGCGGAAACTCAACCAACTACTTGACATCGAAAGAGCATGAAAGAGCTATATTCTAGTTTTCCCTTCTGAATCCTTGAACTTCAAGAAGCACATTTCACTTTGTACACCACAGAAGAAGACTGCACACAGCACAAAGTACAAGAATCATTCCAAAGTCATTTACTGGATGCTGTTGATTCTCTGCCCTGGCAACTCTTTGTCCTGAAAGTTTGGAGGGGGGGGCGCTACAGATAGTACCTGTGGTGTCAGAAATGATGTCTCTTGGGCGATGCCTGAGGAGACCATGGTGGAGCTCGTCGACCAGATGGTGAATGACCCTCTTCCGGCAATTTGATGTTGTCACGAAAGGTAGCCTGATAAGAACTACCTTGAGTTTGCTTTGCGAAGCAAGCGAGTATCTTGAAACGGGGAAACTCCGGGAAACTCCTCTGTGAAGTGAGGCTAGAGTGCAGGGTCTTGATGGATTAGACACAATCTTTCTGTGGCTGTGGCTTTTGCAGATCCCTCCAAAGCAATTTACGTAGAAGATTAGCATCAAAGACCCCTCCTGTATCCAACCTGGCCACCTGATCACCAGCCCGAGCTCCCTAGATCAGCCCCTATATCAACCTAGCTGAGGTGGATGAGCCTTTGGATGCTTGGCCTTTGGAGCGCTTAGCCTTCAAACTCTCCGCCGTCTTCGTGAACTCCTGGGCGACCACCGCCGCCGAGCTCCGCGCGGTGGCCGAGGGCGGCGGAACGACGGGCGCGGCGCGGGCGAAGCAGTTGGGGGAGTGGATGCAGCAGAAGGCCCTGGAGGCGATGGAACAGAAGGCTGAGCTGATTGACGAGGATGCGCCTGAACTAAGTAAGGCAGTCTATCGACAGGTGTTTTTGATGCAGATTGACAACTACTGGCGAAAGCATTTGAAGTACATGAACTTCTTGAGGACCTATTCAAAGTTTCGAAGCTATGGTCAGAAAGATCCCTTGGTGGAGTACAAGCTTGAGGCTTACAAAGCCTTCCAGGTGATGATGGGTAAGATCCGACGGGACACCATGTACTACCTCTTCACCTTCATGCCCAGACCGCTCCACCGAGTGCAGCTGGAAGCGACGGAAGCGACCAAAGCTACTGAGCACCCAGATGGTCCAGGTCCGGTGGTGCCCGGCGCACCAGCTGCGGCCGAGGCAGAGCAACTCCGAGCTTTTTTGGAAGGCCTGAAATAGTCGGGAGTTGGGGAATCCTTCCAAGAAATGGTGCAAAAACCATCAAAAACCAAACTGACAGCCTTTTTTGGCAATGATTTTGAGGAGCTTCAAATTGGACCAACACCTTTCAAAAAGGCCCACATTTCGACTCCAGGTCTGGACCGCCCGGTGGCATCCCTTCGTTCTCCACGGCTCCAGCGTTTAGAGTGTCTCGCGTGCCTGGTGCACGACAGCGGGAGTAGTGGGGCTGAGCTGGTGAGGTGGCTCCGCGGTGAAGGCTTTGAGGTCTGGGAAGACGCCTTCGCGAAGGCCAGCTACGTGAGCTTGGACACTTGGAATGGCCGGAGCCCGAAGAGCTGAAAAAGGGAACGAGTCAGACTGATTGGAAGGGGGTCTTTAAGCAAGTTGGGACCGGGAAAGATGGATGGGAGGTAGAAAGTGTCGGAGGTACTGTTGGGTGGATGGAGCATCATTCTCGTCAATAGATTGGAACCCAAGCTATCCCAAACTATCCTTTTGTTGATGATGCGTGGTTAAAGAGTTCTGAGATCGGGTCCCTTATCTCATGGGTGGATGTGAGTCAAAGCCTATTCTGGTGGACATGGGTGTCATGAACCCCAAGGCACATACCTCCATGAGCTCCAGCCTTTTGAGGGGAGACCTGCCACCGAATCCCATCCAGAAGCGCTGCCAGTGGGCTACACTTCATGGAAGCATGTTGAATCTCTCGCTCAGGGTGGGCCCTTGTGCTATAGCTTTGCAAAATGGTTCACAGTCTGGTAAAGCTTCCCACTGCTCTCTACCGTCATGAACCCAGGTGTGGGTGGACTTTTGTATACGAACCCTCTCAGATGGAATGTTGGCCAATGGATGAAACCGACTGTAGGTGCTCCTTCCTTTTTGCTACTTTATTTCGTCTCTACGACCATCAAGTGACAGCTGAGCTAAAACCAGTCGGTTGTTCACCCAAGAACTGGCGCAATGGCTCCTCAGCAGTGGGGGAAGTTGAGCCCGCACCTGGATTTGTGCACGTTCTGCTCGCCCGCCACACCGGACGTTCCGGAGGGCTTCGGCTTCATCTTGCCGGATGACTTGAGGGAAGACATCTTTTATCTCAGGACGGGCCGGGGCTCGTGGGCGGAGCGGTGGAGTTCTTGGCCCGCAGGCTGAGAGACCTGGTTTTTGTGCTGTGGGCATCCAGAAGATGTATTCTTCGCTTCCATTTCAACAAGGAGACCAAGGACCTCTACAAAAGAGAGTTCCATATCATATCATATCATCATTGTTGGAAGGGCTTTGCAGATTGGATGCTTGGGAACCATCGCAGTTCTCCACATCGATGAGTTTGTGTCGAATGCAACAAAACGGATAAGAATACATATGGTGTCATGTACACATTCGAATATATATTATATACAATCAGTTCCATATGGCAAGAGCAAATATATCATATATACAAATATACACTATCAATTCCATGTCTTTCTACAGTTTATATGAGTAAATGCCATGCATTTCGTAGAAGGCACACCGCCCTGATGTCTTGCTTCACCTCCTTTCGTCTGACGTCTGGGCCACGTGGGCGGGATAGGGGAAGCAGCTGGCGCTTCAGTTTGAGGTTTTGCACCAGAAGAAACGTTGGGAGGTTTGACCCAGTATTTGTGTTCAGGTCTGGCATCATACGTGCATTTTCAGCTTGCTTTCAGCTACTCCCCAAAGACTTGGGGATTGCTTCACAATGTGAAAAAACTCTATATAACCTCCCAAAACATATTTTTGAAGAAGGAGATGTCATTTGCACTACTTAGACTGCACTATACGATTGCTTACCCTCCCAAGTTCTGAGCACCAACCCGCAGGTTCCTTTCGAAGATGAATCGTCAAAAAGACAGTTTGCGACGTGTGAGTGGACGTGACATATCAGGGGAGTTCGGCTGGGCACTCATCGCATCGCGTTCGCATCAAAGAGCGACCCCGAAAAAACCTGGAATTCCACCTGTTCGAAGACGTACCTACTAGTAACAAGAAGCTAGGGGCTCCTGGCCTTACTACTAGGAGCAAGGACGCTACTAGGGCTCCTGGCATCGCTACTAGGAGCAAGAAGCCCTTTTTCCGATGCGGGCGACGCGTGCGACGGCCCGTGATCGGACGCCGTGATCGCCAGGAGCGAGCTCCCGCCGGAGTTGGACGGCATCGAGCCGCGCCGCGACCAGGCGCGAGGTGTTGACGGTGGGACGACGGTCACCGGATCGATGGGACGGTCTGTGTGTTCTTTTTTGTGGCGCTGCTGAACAACTTACCTGACACTTGTTTCTTTTTTCTATGTTTCTTTTTTGGGGGGCATTTTGATGTCAGACCCAAAAGAAGGAGAAGTTGTAGGTGACGTGGTTGATTATTTTTGGCTCCATCAACTTCACATTATGCATTTGGCTGCCACTGGTTAATGATGGTCTCCTTGTTCGGTGTTGCAAGGTGAGAATTCACCCAGAATCCACCAGTGGGAGCTCCTAGGTGCACTGGGTAAGTCATGCGAAAAGCTGAAGGAAAAACTTGCCTACCCATCCTGGAGAGTTGCATATACGGAGAACCATGGCGCCCCCTTTTCTTCTTCCTTCTTGGCACCTCTAGAGCCATAATGTATAATGACAACTGAAAGCCGAACCAGATTAGCTTGAGGTCGACAACTTGTTTCATGTTGTGAGTTGTGTTTATAGGGACTTTTCCAAGATTTTGGTGTGGTCGAGTTTAGAGAATGGACCCATCCCTTCGCCATACAGTCGAGACACTTCCGAGCTCCTTCATCGACAGAACTGTTTGGGATGACCTTGGCAGGTTGTTGACCGCCGTGTGGACTTTGAGGCAGACGATGTGTTTTCAGCGGGTGGATTGGTGGTAAAGCAGGTTCCCCCGATCTAGTCGAGGTCGTGGCAACTATAGAAGTGTGGCGGGGGGGCGGGTTGTGGAAGATGAGAACTCTTCGAAAGCCCAGCCGCATGGGACGCCACTTCCGGACCGGGAGGGCGGGTTGGCTCGGTGTTTTGGTAAGGAAGATTGGCCCTCAAGGCTGCGAAAGGTCCACTGTGGATCTTGCCCATTTGAAGTTTGAGAAGAGGTCGAAGACAGCAGGCCCCCGATTCCTTTAATCATTCGCTTTGCCTGATGCCTATAGGAGGCTCCTGGGGATGGGAGTATCCAGACCCAGCGATGACCAGACAGACCATCTCACACGGACTCCCCTCGGAGCTTCGATTGACCTCTAGTCACTAGTCAACAGCACCACACTTTTTGTTGGTTTGCAAACAAGAAAACTTAGGGTCGAAATACTCGGCCTGATCCTTTCTGCTTTTTGTCAGTCGTACGCTGTAAGAATGATCAGCTCACCGTCACCAAGCTTTGCACACTCCTCGTACGAGCGCCGTTTATGTTTCGGCTTTCTTCGGCCGACTCCGGGGACCGGGCTTTTCGGGTGAAGAGCCACGGCATCTTGTTACTAGTAGGGAACATTGCTCCTAGTAGTACGGCCAGGAGCCCCTAGTAGCGTCCTTGCTCCTAGTAGCGATGCCAGGAGCCCCTAGTAGCTTCTTGTTACTAGGCAACTACGAAAAGCTGGTCTTGTGGGCCTCGAGCTCCTACTGGCGCTTTTTGGAAAGCGTGGAAGGACCATACTGTAGAGAGAGCTTGGAGGAGCTTGCACAACTCCTGCACATATACACATATTTCAATGATATAACTGCTCGCCATAATAGAACATGATACACGTATACCCTGGGAGTCCAAGACCATTCTCTTAAATGGCTGATCTGGTTTTGTAGTGAAAAACCCTTAGAAAAACACTGGCTGTTCAGTAAAGGCTATTGAACAAATGGTGGTTCGACTTCTAGGGTATATATTATACACATAATATCTTATAGATATACTCCAAACGAAGCCAACACCCTCAAACTCCATGGCGGTAAGGACACTCAGCGAACTGTTTTTTTCCCCAAATAGCGAAGCTATGGGGTTCTTACTTCAAACAACAATGAGTTGCCCGTGCGCGCTTTCGAGACAGGTTGCTGGTGCTGGGCGCCGGTGCTGGTGCTGGTGCTGTGAGCTGGCTGTGCCCGTGGCGGAGACAGGTTGCTGGCGCCGGTCCTGGTGCTGGGTGCCGGCTGGCGCTGGTGCTGTGAGCTGGCTGTGCACGTGGTGGAAACAGGTTGCTGGTACTGGTGCCGGGTGCCGGTGCTGGTGCCGGGTGCCGGGTGCGGGTGCTGGTGCTGGTGCTGTGAGCTGGCTGCGCACGTGGTGGAGACAGGTTGCTGGTGCTGGTGCTGGTGCTGGGTGCCGGTACTGGCGCTGGTGCTGTGAGCTGGCTGTGCACGTGGTGGAGACAGGTTGCTGTGCTGGTGCCGGGTGCCGGTGCTGGTGCTGGGTGCCGGGTGCCGGCGCTGGTGCTGGTGCTGTGAGCTGGCTGTGCACGTGCTGGCGCTGGTGCTGTTTCTGTGAGCTGGCTGTGCACGTGGCTGTGAGCTGGCTGTGCACGTGGTGGAGACAGGTTGCTGGTGCTGGTGCCGGGTGCCGGCGCTGGTGCCGGGTGCTGGGTGCGGGTGCTGGGTGCCGGGTGCTGGTGCTGGGTATGCTGGGTACACCGGCGCTGGGCGCCGTGAGCTGGCATGCCGGTGCTTGGTGCTGGTGCCCGCTTCTGACAGTGAAGTTATAAAAAGCGCTGGTTCTCACAGTGAAGGGTAACAAACCGCCGCTTGCAGCAGTGAAGGGCGACCGAGCACCGCTTCTGACAATGAAGTGCCAGCAGTCATGGGCCGCATGAACTTATGCACGCAACATCATACGGTGTTGTCGCTTGAGCGTTCTTTGTCTATTAGCGCTGTAGGGTATTTACACTCTTCAGGTTCTGTTTTGGCCGACAGCTGTGTCAAGGGCTGTACTGTTTGCGCGCATACTTTTGTACGTATAATGTTCTATGCGCAACGTCAGGCTCTCAACCGACCATTGTTTCAGCATGTTTCAGCATGCTACACTGTTACACACACAATAGTCGTGCTGGATACTGCTTGGCCTCGGGCGAGTGAAGCCTACGGGCTTTGCCGTTTGTGCGCATACTTTTGTGCGCATAAACTTGTACGCGCAAGATCATACGGCCTTATCATTCTGCAGATCGTTGCTTCAAGCATGCTACAAAGTCAACAGTGGCGCTGGATACTGCTTGGCCTTGGGCCAATGACACTTATGTTATTCTCCAAATAGGGATAGCTATGGGGCTTCTTGCTGCAAATAAGAATGAGCTGGCTGCGCGCGGTGCTGGTGCTGTGGTCCTGGGTGCTGGTGCTGTGAGCTGGCTGAGCGCGCGGACGGGCGGCGGCGCTGGTCGGGTGCTGGCGCCGCTGCCGGTGTTGTCAGCTAGCAAAGCGCACCGGTGCTGGTGTCAGCTGATCGCGCGCGCTGTGGAGGTCCGTAAGCTGGCTGTGCAG